ATTGCGCATATTTAAAACAGAAAGGAACAGATATAAAAGTTTCGTGGGATAAATTATTTTTCTTAATCGGGGAGCTTACGCCGTTTCCTTTTTTCATACACTTTTGTGAAACTGAACTACATACATACATACATAATCTTTATTTAAGCACGGTAAAAAATTTCGTCAGGTTAAAACTACCTAATCCGTTTAATGCCTAATGTCTAATATAATAAAAATAATTAAATAGAAATGCTGCTTTCCACGAATGCCGTGCCTTTTACATCTTCTTTGAGTAGACGTTTAAAATTCCTCAGGGACTCTGCTTCCCTTAAGTCGCAAAGGCGGCTGGTTCAAAGAATGGAACCACAATTTTATGCTAGTTTGTGCGCGGCAATGGAACATTTAGTTTATTCTCAGAGTCCCTTAAGCTATATGAGGTTTCTGGCCGCTCGAATTTAGAACTGCGATATTCCGGAGCCATCCCGCGCAGAGAGTTGTAAACCGTCTTAGCTCTTTGAATTTGCTGCTGGCATGCTAGATTTTTCCACCCGAGAAGTTTGAACAGGTGTCCAGCAAGTACGTCATAGTTTGAGTAGGTCAAAACACGGGCTGCTCTATTTTGTAACTAGACAAGTAAAGGATTCGTCGCGTGTTACATACCTTGAAATTGTGAACATATCAATGTCACTGCTTCCTTGCTAAATGGAATCAATCAGCCGGCTACATTGGGGTGTAAGCCACTTACAATTAATGTCGCTCTAGAATTCAAGTGCTTGGACTAAGCACTTTGGAGTTGTTGTTTAGCAAAGCGCCGTTTAAAAGTATTTTTCATGGGCTTAAAAGTACTCTCATGTGCAGCCCTCATTCGGCACCAGCACTTAATCGAGGGAAGCTCTTTTCCATGTAAATACCGTACTTAAAGCTGACTGAAAGCGAACCGATGAAAAAAATTCATTTTATTTGACGATGGTGTCTGATAAATCATGTAATTCGAGGAAGAGTTTTTATTTTCTCATACTACTCTGATGACATTAAGGCTACTGTTGCTTTTACGAACAAAAAATAACCCTGAGGCCTTTCTAGAACGTTTTTACACTTTAATGTTCGGTGTTAATTTCCGTACAGAAGTCACATTTGTCTTTTGATTAATGTCAGCTTCTCAGTTATAAATCCAACAGTAATAAACATAAAGTTTCTTCTGACAATGGCCGGATACAGATCCTCACACGAACAGGTGACGAACGTGAAGTAAACTTCAAAAATGTACGAAGAATTGATAGTTTGTAGCTAGAGCTGAATGTGTTAAACTGTCAAAGAGGAATAAAAACTGAGTAAGGCAATTCTTACCGCCCAAAGATGTTCGACGAATTATTAAATTGCTTTAGGCATAGTATACTTACAATGTTCACTCTGGAAAGTTCTGGAAAGAATAAAGGCTTTTATATATGTATAATTTTGCTTGGAGGTTGTAAATGTTCTTAAATTTTATTATTGTATTTCAGGCTTTTAATCTGTATAACTTTTAGATACAGGGCCCCTATGGAGACCAGCTTTGGAGCTGAATGGGCCACCCTGTTTAAATAAAGTTTACTTAACTTAACTTACTTTGCTATTGGATAATAAGAATCGTTTCAGTAGAACTTTAATAAGGCATGTTTTCAATGAGCTCCATTAGGTAAATTGTTCAGTAAAAGCGCCAAAACTGAGCTTTTCCTTCAAGTATTTCTCTTAGAATTAAATAACAAGCAAGCTGTGATCGGTTTTCAAGACAAATCGAGGCCCTAGACAATGTCTTTCAACACAAATGAGTCAGACGATGTCCTCAGCAGTGTCATCCCCGTCTTTAGTTAAAATTTGCCTGTTGACATCACTGTCTCTCGAAAAGCGCTGTGATCGTTTCCTTTTAAACAGAGACTTGAGTGCCTTGTTGAAATCTCGTCTAAAAAACGTGTACAGTAGAGGATTTATGATAGAGGTAGCATACCTAACGAGCACAAACACGTGAGCTGCAATTTCCATGTCTTCCAAATTGTCTTCTACCTTGTACATGAGCAACAAAATAAACCATGGCAACCAACATACAAGGAAGATTATTGCCATAGAAGCGAACAAAATTAAGCATCTTCTTTCTAGAGCAGCTTGTCGATTGAAATGTGACCTCGAGATAATGTTTCCTTCCGTCTTCCCCTGATTGGAAATTGATTTGAAAATAACCGCAAAGGCATAGATCATAAATGCATACGGCAACAGGAAAACTGCCACGAGACAGAATATGACATGCTCTAGTGTTAATTTCCTTTGCGTTTCTGTATCCTCCATGTTAACCCAAGCAAAGGGAATGAAAGCCACAATGAAAGACACCACCCAAACAACTTGAAGCACTTTAAAAACTGTTTTCCTGGTTATCGATCGATGCTTCACTGGCCAGATTATCGACAGATATTTCTCTGTAGTTGCAGCTAGTATGTGATAACAAGCTGATATGGCTGTAAAATTGTTGACCACGCTCACCAGAAGAACCATATAATGGTCTGACGGCCCGATAAGCAGTGTGAACGCGACTACGATGAACAAGGGAATATTGACGATTCCGGTGATGAAATCACAAGCAGCTAAACTGAAAAGGACGTAATTTGCTGGTGTACGAAGCTGTGTCTTTTTCACAAATAAAACTAACACCAATCCATTGGCAAGGATAATCAGTAATGCAACAGGAACTAGCTCAGCTATTGCTTGAGTGTCAACGCTCAAGATGTCGTCTTGGGGATGTTGGGGCGCTGATGAGTTCGTATTGTTGAGCATCTTGATATCTGCCTGAATTATTTTTGTTTTGCTACACCTGCTACACCCTGCAAGATTTGAACAAGAAATAAAAATAGCCATCACATTTCCCTGTTATATTCCGTTTGGTTTTACGTCCGTAATTTTTATTTCGTACGTAATTCCCCAATTACACAGTTGCTGAAAGCCTCTCTGGAACGTTCGATTTTCCCTGAATTTAGTCGCAGCCAACAAGCTCTTTCAAATATCAGTATATTTTAATATCGCACATTTAAAGTTTCCAAATGGATTAGCAGATAAACTCTCGGGATAAAAGTAATGTTGTAATTCGGAGTCAAGGCCTAAAAGTTTATTTTGTATGAGCATTTTAATTATACTAAAAGATTGGAAAAATAGACAAAGGGTAATTCCTTGCAGATCTTCAGTGGATAAGAAAGAACGCGGTAAAAATTATAAATTCATCTTCATATTTTCTTATCTCCACAGTCGTGATTGGTTGTTTAAGGCGCTACGTCACTGGTAGCGTATCCTTGAAAATTTATTCTAAAATTTAAGTATTCATTTAGTCTAAGATACAGAGCCACCCTTTCGAGTTTACTGCTTCCTCCTTGATTTGTACCACATTAAAAGTGACTCACATTTACCATACCCAAGCTTTTTAAAAAAGAAACAAAGAGAAAGGATAGATATAAGCCAAATTTCATTTCGCTAAGAGGAAAGTGCAGCTTTATATTCACAATAGCTAAGAGATAAATTGATGCCAAGACTGCGCATCTCAAAATTTCAACCCCTTAAAAATGAAATGGAGCGGAAAAGCTGAAAACAGATTTTAACATTTTAAAAACCTTAAATATTGAAATTACCCGGGAAAACTGCGATAGACTGGTGATTTAAGTTAGGCTTTCGGATTGAGTATTTAGAATTCGTTTAAAAATTAAAATTAAAGAAGTTTGTTGGCAATGGAAGCGAAAGTGTTGTGCCAATAATGTGTCAATGACTAATTGAGAATTCGAGCGAAAAGTGATCGTTACGCCAGTTGCAACGGGGGCCAAGAAA